GCTGAAAAAGGTTGAAATTTGGTTTAGCTCATTCTACGGTTTTCGAAAACCAATTTTTAGTTTAATCCGATCCAAAATCAAGAACCCAACTTTATATCTCGTAATGGCCTACCGAACCACTTCTAAACCATAAGTACGATTCTGCATTGATTTGTTTTTAATGTCAACTATTTTATTAAGCTAACAATGTGCTATATATAACGAACAAATTACATCAATGAAATAACAAGGGATAATGATTTAAAAGGGTAATATATTTTTCGATTTGTACACATTTTTTTTCGTCCACATTTACCCCTTAAACTTGTTGAGCTGTACACATTTAGTCCTTATGACCGGTTACTTCAGGTTAGCCGGAAAAAATGATTTAATAGGGTAATATATTTTTCATTTTGTACACATTTAGTCCTTATATTTTTGCACACATATAATCTTTAATATTTTTTTGTTTCAAAATAAGTCATTTTTGTTTTTGTACACATTCAGTACTTATGAATGTTTTCTCTAGGTTTTTCTCACGACATTTTACATGAGACAATCATTGATTAGTGTGTGAGGCTGTTTATGTGTAATGTCTCATTTTCACGACATTTTACATGGGACAGTCATTTTTGTTTTTGTACACATTCAGTATTTATGTGTAATGTCTCATTTTCACAACCAAAAAATTTCATTTTTAAATATGGCAAAACTCTCTAATTATAAATCCATTATTAAAAAAAAACGTTTATTCCAAAATTTATTTAGCGAAAATCAGAGTAATATAAGAAAATGTGTAATCCTCAATAATGTTGATGAGTGTGTATAGCCATCCATTCGCCTTCCCACGACCAACGATAAAACCTGAAAACATAAATAACTGGGTAAACACAAAGTTTAGTGAGTTTCCCCCAAAATACCCAACACAACAAACGTATTATTATGCATAACGGACCCACACTCATTAGATTGGTATACATTGGCCCAATCAGTCATCGGACTGGAATGCCAACATGCAACAGGTCCAATCAGTAACCGGACTGGAATACTCAGGGTTTGTTGGTATGACGCCTTAATCCAACCGCTCTTCTTGAGTCTTCGTGCCTACAACTTATAGCCGGCCCGCACCAGGTATCTTGGCCTACAACATATAGCAGGACCACCTGAAACTATCCCACCACCATATGGCTATCCCACATAAGATGTCGTGAGAAAAATCTAAAGAAATTATTCATAAGTACTGATGAATAAAAAAAATGACTTATTTTGCAATAAAAAAAATATTAAGGACTAAATGTGTACACAAATATTAAGGACTAAATGTGTACAAGACATGAGACCACCTCCATTGTTGCACCCAAGGTTGTCAAAATTGGGATCCTATGTATGATTGTCTTTGGATTTGCAAGATGAGGATCAAGATCTTAAGATCCCACAAAATAAAACATAATTTTAATTTATAATTTTAAAACATAAAAAAATCTCAAATATTGGATTTTCCATTTAAAAGGTATAAAAATTTCAAAACATTAGTCATAACTCACAAAAAAAAAGGTAAGGTAGGATAAACGGTAAACTAAACTAGTAAATGCAAAAAGGCAATGGTAAATTCAATTTTTTCATTGTCAAAAAAAAAAAAAAAAGAAAGAAAAAATATAAGGTAGAATCGGATTGGATCCTAATTTTATGTTCAGGGGCGGATTTAGGGGGGGGGGTGTTCCGGGGTGGCACCGGCAATCCTTAAATTTTCCGGCCGCAGTGGAAAAATTTTCGAAATTTTAATTTTAATTTTTTCTATTATCGTGCAACCTCTAATCTTCCTGTGCAACCCCTACTATGAAATCTTGCGTCCACCCCTGCTTACGTTGTTAACTGCAATCATACCCTAAATACGATTCATATACAATCCGGAGTATGAAACACCATTTCTGCCTAAAATCGTCTGAATGAGGAAATGTTTCGAAGGGACTCGACGAGTCGGCTAGGGTTTTCTCGACGTGTCAGGAAATGTGTAACTTGGCGAGATGATGAGACAACTCGATGAGTTAAGTTGGATTATTTCGGAAAAGTTTCATTTTAATCACAAATTTTATTTTTTGAACAAAAAAGTCCCGATTATTACATTTTGGCTCAAATTAATAAAAAAGTCGTTTTTTTCTTTTAACAGAAAATGACATATTATCGTGTAAAATCAAATAATGAGGCTTTTATGTTCAAAAAATAAAATTTAAGACTAAACTGAAACTTTTCTGACAAATTCCCATACATGGAACATACCAAACAGAAAATTTCAAGTTACCCTAATAAAATAAAGAATAAGTGAGTCTTATTTTGTAAGCCAGGTTATTAGCCATTTGGCTTCCTTTGAAATTATTTTAATCAATACCTATCTTCCTTTTTTTTTTCTTTTGCAATTAGTTTTTTTATTTGTACGTAAAATTATAAACTTTCCATAGAACAACCTTCCGTTTTTTCTCGACTTACCCTATTTCCATAGCAGGAAAAAATCTTATTTTTTTCTCAGTCAATCCAAGAAACATCTCTAAAGAGTTAAGAAATATGAAAAATTAAAATGTTCAAGTTATAAAACTTGGTCAACAGGGACAACAACAAATTGATCAAATATATGTTAAATGCAAAACCAGGAAGATGCATTGAGAAATTTAGCAATATTTTTCAATAGGTTTTATTGGAACTTGGTTAACTATTAATCAGTCTTGAATTTGTGGATGAAGTATTTGCTGCAATTTAAGTTGCCAAATATAAAAAGGGGCAAGTGCTAACAGTTTGAAGCATCCAACTAAAAGAAAAACAACCAGATCATATATCAAAATAATATTTTTCTTTTAATTTCTTCACACACTTCAATTTATATTATAAATTCAAACACGCAGGAGGAGTTTAAGAAAACAACAAAACTCGTGTTCTTAATAGTGTAAGGCAAACAAAAAGATTGTGAATTAAATATTAAAAACAATATATATATATATATATATATATATATATATATATATATATATATATATATATATATATATATATATATATATATATTCAGGTTCATTTGAGACCATTCTAATTTTGTGAGACCGTGAGACCAAATCTAAAAATAATTTTAAAATACAAAACAAATGGAAAAATCAAAAAACTCTTTTTTTAAATATTATTTTCGGAACTTGAATTAACTAAAAAAAAAAAAAAATCCGTTTTTTTTTTAAAAATACGTGAAATATTCTAATAGAATATTTCACTGAAATATTCTAAAAAATAATTTTAAAATGGAAAATCTAAAAATTCTTTTTTTAAATATTATTTTCGGAACTTGAATTAACTAAAAAAATAATAATAAAAAAATCCCATTTTTTTGAAAAATATGTGAAATATTCTAACAGAATATTACACTGTACATATTCCAAAAAAATAATTTTAAAATGCAAAATAAATGGAAAAATCTAAAAATTCTTTTTTTTTAAATATTATTTTCGGAACTTGAATTAACTAAAAAAAAAAAAAATCTCGTTTTTTTTAAAACACATGAAATATTCTAATAGAATATTACAATATATATATATATATATATATATATATATATATATATATATATATATATATATATTCTAAAAAATAATTTTAAAATGCAAAATAAATGGAAAAATCCAAAAATTCTTTTTTTAAATATTATTTTCGGAACTTGAATTAACTAAAAAAACTAAAAAAAATAAAAAATGCGTCTCACTGTCTCACAAAATATAGGTAGTTTCAAATGAACCTAACCATATATATATATATATATATATATATATATATATATATATATATATATATATATATATATATATATATATATATATATATATATATATAGGACAACACCATTAATGTATGGGTTCAAGTCATGGTTAGGTAATAGGAACATGCAAGTGTTGGAACTACGGTTTAAATCATGGTTAGGTAATAGGGACATCGACGTAATCAACAAGGATTTTCTTTGTTCATTATTTGGAGATTGAAAGATGATCATAGAGTTGTGAATGGATAATTTTGGAAAATCGATGGAGTTAACGAGGCTTATGAGTGAGATTTTTTTTGTTGGGTTTGATGACACCGATAAAAACACACAGTGAGCCTAGAATAGCATAAGAAAGAAGACATAGAATAGTACATATTAAATTAGATCATATAATATGTATTAGTTTAAAGGTAATCTTCTAGAAAAGTCCAATATTTTGATTTATTGGTAATAAATAATGAAAAAACTCTAAAATTTTGATTAATTAATGAAAAAGCCCCAAAATTTGGATTAATTAACGAAAAAAGACGAGATACCGGCTAAATCTGTGAAACCGGCCACGAAGGGTTAATCCGAAGTTTTAGCCGGTAATATATCCTTTTTGTAAACAAAATTTAATTTGGAATTAAATCGTAAACTGACCTAAAATATTGAGACTTTTTCGCAGATTTCCCATTAATGTTTAATGTTATGCTAGTTAACTATTTCAGCTTCATGACATTATTTATACATATTAAACTTGGACAATTCTTAAGAACAGTAACTGACGTGAGTTTGGTTAGTCTAGGGTACTGTTCTTTGGGTTGGTTAGTTGACGTGAGTTTGGTTAGTCTCGATATCCACCGCCCCAAATTGGGATTTACTCCCGATACTTCCCGAACCTTTCATTCCCACCGCCACTATCCTCCACTGCCTTAAGCGGTTGTCATTCGTTAGTTCCTTTCTTGCGTCTTCTTTAACCTCCTCAACCCAACCGTATATGTTCCTCAGGTTTAATCCTCAACCATCCACCGTCTCATCTTGATTCTTCCAGATTATCCTTCTCTCACCTCGCTCTCTGCAGTCACTAGAAACCCTAAATTCATCTCTACCGGAACCGGCGTCCGCCACCCCTACGCTTCCTTATTTCCCGTTGGTGTACAGGTTTGTTTCATAGTAACCCAAATACTTGTGTGTATGTGATCTATAGATGACACTCCTGGTTTCTTCCTCACTTTACCACCGCTCAAAGGCCAGAAGATTCGTCAGCAACAACCGTCGGCTCAAAGGCCAGAAGATTCGTCAGCAACAACCGTCGACTTCTTGCATAGCCTTCCCAGTTCCCACCGCCTCTCTTATCAGGTTCGCCTCTTTCCACCTTTCCTTCCCCCTTTCTTTGCAATCGACCGAGACCCTAGGAACGACAATTGTGAGGTAGCGTCACATATTCTCATTCCAATTATCCACTCACATTTGAGCCCTAATTTTTCCGGTTTTTTTTTAATATGGAATTAGATATAACTGATTTTCGCTGCCACAACCCACCCATCGTTTTCTGGCACAAAACGACATCCAACATCTCTCATCATTTGCCACAACCGATCGACGGTGAGTTCTCTTCGAGGACGATTTATACCCTGGTCATGTCTGTTATTTCCTTTGTGTTGCTGTGTGGACACGACAACAAAAAAGTTCGACGGCAGCTATCGATGGAGATGGTGCTGACCATTGTTTAGGTGGGGTTTGGATGGATTGTAATTGAATTCCATTCCAATCCATTGTTTCGTTGCCAATGGGTATCTAAACTGTGTATCTATCGATGGAGATCTTTCTAGGTTTGATTATTCTTAAAGATTCGTTTCTCTTCATAATCAAAGCCCTAACCTTTTGAATTTACATCGACAACAAGCATTATGTTCAAATTGTTTGCTGTTTGTTGGTATAATGGTGTTACTCATCACAAATGACTAAACTTCAAACATTATGTCTCCTAATAAATCTTTCTTTTTTAGTTTCTACAATCTTCTATTCTTATACAATATCCACGTTCTTGATAATCGATTCTGATTCTAACTTAATGAATTTCTTGTAACAAGAACAACATCAAGATTCATAAGCTGTTAAACATTCATTTCAAACTTGCATGGGATTATCAATTTCGTGCCCCTTTGCCACCTGTACAGATTTGTAAAACAAGATTATTGATGTTAGGGTGTAAGTTGGATTAGGGTGCTATAGATGGTTCGCATAGATTTAACATTATATGTATATTATAAAATAGAGTTTTCACTTATTTTTATGTTGTTTGTATTGCAGTAGTAAGCCAACTAAATGACCTAATGACTTGTGGTGGAGACGTGGGTCTACTTCACCAAGGTCAGTGCATATAAGCCATAGAAATGATAAAGTTGAAATCTTAATAGTACAATTCATTAATTTCTTATTTGTATTGTACACTTTTTCTTGAAATCGGAGGGACTTAGTTCGAAATTGTTTCATTTTTGGGGTTTATAAAACTTTCACTTTCGAGTTTTTGATGATAACTTTGGGTTTCATTGGCAGGTTGAATCTGAATAGTTGTTGAACATGCTCAGTTAGAATGGATATCTTTTCATTATTGTTGCTTATCTTTTTTTGGTAGAGGTTTACAAATTTACACGTTTTCTTATTACGGACACCTACATTCAAGGCTTCTGATTTTACCAACACTGGTATTTTATTTCAATAACCTTTTTTTTCAGATGTCCACCGACCATATTCTCAAACTAATGAATTGTCTTTCTTACAATAGGAATGTTTTTTGTTCTCTAAACTTTACTTTCTATCTCGGTTTGGATGATTTATACCCGTAATTTTCAATCCCTAAATTTTGCAGATGCTTCTCCGACAAACCCAAAAGCAACAAGAAAAATGACGAACCTGTGTTTTTAAGAATCTACACATCAACTAACCGATCTTTAAAAAAAATCAGAGAAGAGATTCGGAAAGTGGTTTGCTGATGGACGTGATGAGGAGTCTACTGCCAGGATAAATGTCCAGGTATAATAATTTCTCGCCTAACATTGAGTCCTTTTGAAAACTATGATTTTAAATTGCATCTACATTGGCATATCATACAATCGATTTTGTTTCCATAAATTGATACCTTGCTTGTGCTCGACAATTAGGGATCAAAGGCATCTGAAAAAATATATCTCAAAGAGATGAATGTCTTCCTAACACAACCAAACGAAGAATAAAAAGGTATGTTACATTATAATGATTTTTGTTATCAATATTTGTGGTACCTTACGGAGTCAGTAATTATAATTTCAAGTCTAACTATATATGTTAATATTTAATATCTATAAATTAAATTTTATTATTTTATTTTTTCAGAGTGTATATATCACCGAATGAAAGGTTTTTAAAGAAGGGATAGTTCCCTGTGCTTACAGTTATGTTAGCAGGGTATGCTTTGCATATAATGATTTTACAAATTTGTGTTTCAGCCTTCCTTACAGGGATTACCAAAGCAACCATAATTAGGTAACATCTACAATTTGAATTCACACCAAAGTTATGATTTTAGAAATTTGTGTCTGTCTTTGCATATAATGATTTCACTAATTTGTGTTTCAGATTTTCCGTAATGGAATTAACAAGAGAAAGGATCTATGTTGCATCTTACCAAACACCTTTCTACAAAAGTCTTTAATTGACTTCCATCTCCTTCTCAAAAGTGGGTGACTTCATCTGAATGCATTGCTGCAGTGGATGGATATATCATGCTTCACTTAGATGACATTAGCATATATGTCTTGAGCTATTTTTACAATTTTACTCCTGACAATTATATGAAAACTTCAGGGGCAAGTGCCAAGGTCAGACTCCTATATGGATATATAGTATTAATTAGTTGTTGTTGAAATACATCTATATATATATATATATATATATATATATATATATATATATATATATATCAATAAAATAAATGAAGTTTGTTATTTATCTGCTTCGTTTTGATTATTGAAACTTTAATTTTTTTGAAAAACTTTACATTGGTGTTAAACAGAATCAAAGTACATGTTGGATCAAAGCAATGAATTAATGCAGCAAAACAAACACTAACTTTAGCACTACCTCTTTTGAAAAGAAGAGTAAGATGGTCATATGCTCTCATTCAAACAACCCATTTGCTGCAGAAAAACAAAATTTTTTTAACTAATTATTGACGTGTACAAGCAATAAAAGGTGAGGTTTAAGATTTGTTTAAATGATTTCACAGATTGATTATTACGATAAATGTAGGCAACTGCCATCTTTGACTTGAATTTTGCTATGTTTAAGTTACAAATGTATAATAGTGAATTTTTTGTGACCATAACAATTTTTTTTTTTTTATTTATCAATGTTTAAAGAGTGAAAATGAAAATATTCCATTACTGAACGATATCATGGAAGGATGCGAAACTGCCCTACAATATCAAGTAAGTTGCTTTTTTTGCACTAATGTTTTTTTACTATACTCTCGATCTATATCTTCCTTATAAGTCCAAGAAAATATATAAGAAAGAAAATTATATGGATTCATGGTTATACTCTTATATAAGAAATAAAAAAAATCTTATTATATGGTTTAATTTGTTGTCCAACATATCTCTGTACACCTCATGTTAATAGCTTCAATGTCAATGCAGAGAAACCAATATCCTGCTAGATAATTAGCTAAAAATAGATGGTAATGAAATACAGAAATAATTGAATATACCTATACTTCAATTTTAAATTATAACAATTAAAAGAGTAGTCGTTTCAATATTTAATAATTTTGAATTATTTGAATAACTAATGAAATAAATAGTTGTTTTTAAGGAAAACATTTGATTTTCATATGTTGTTTTGATAAGGCCATTTTTCTATAACTTAAATAAGAAATTCGTTTTTTTTTTTTTTTTTTACGTGATAGATTTTTATACAGTATGTTTTTTTAAAATGATTAAAATATTGTCTTCTTTCAAATAACATATTATGTTTATCGTATATAAGATAATCAGATACCAATTTTATTAACATTAGGGATATTCACCTAATTTTATGACTTCCTGCAACAACTCATTGTCTGCTTCACCAAAGCTGATTTAATATTAAGAAACATCTTAGTTAAGGGGTTGCATTGTCATTTTGACACTTTTGCCCCTCCACACTGTTTTAATATTAAGAAAATAAATATTTGCATTTTTAGGATCATATTGCCCCTGCACACTTTTTATATTAATAATATTAATTTATTTACAGTTTTAGAACCATATTGCCCCTGCACACTATTATTATATTAATAAAATTCAATTTTTTCAGAAATACACATCAATAGATGAACACTTAGAGCCTAATGCATTCATCACTCCTCGATCCAATTCATATGATGCGACCACCTACACCATTCTTCATTCAATGAACAATCGGATTAATGACCTTCAGGATAATATCAGTTATTTTTTATCTTATCAATTTAATATTATATTTATCATATAAACAATACTACCTCTTACATTTAATCATTTCATAACTTTTCTTAGCAAGATGGTTATTCTCGAGCTTCTGAAATGAAAATGGAAATACCAAAACTAGACTACAAAAGATCCATACAAATGGTCCAGGAATAGAAGAAAATGTATCAAATTTTGAATCAATTTGGTGTTGGTTAGCTGTTATATTGAGAAGTGGTGAAATGAACTTGATGCTCTAAAACATTTCAGCCTCTTCTTCTACTTATGATTTAATACCTTCTTACCCGAACCATATTTATCATGTTATTCAAAATTTTGTTGTGTTGAAGTTTCGACCCAAGTTCCAAATTTAGTAAGCATTTTTTCCCGTAAACTTAGACTATTTTAATTCATAATAGCAACATACTTACATTTTTCACGTCTAATAGTAATATGTAAACCCATAATAACAACATAGTTATATATATATTTTTTTCCAGATAATAGCAATATGTAAGCCCATATTAATATTTTGTACAGAATTCATAGTGAAGCCATCACGTTCCGCAAAGAAATTGTACATGCAAGAATATCTAAATAAGACAACGAAATTATTATGTGATCCTTTCTATCGATAACAAGCACAAAGTGACCAAAATGATCGGAGCTGTCTAGGTCCATCCCCGCAACGCGGGGCTCCCCATCTAGTTTTGATTAAAAGTAGTATGTCAAACTGTTTTTTTTTTTTTTTTTATCAAATGTAAAGCATGTACACTTCCAAAACTCAAAAGATATTATCCCATTAATCATTTATCATTTTTAAAACGCAACATATTTCTCTTTTTCATGTGTCACCATAGGCCAACAACAAGTTACGTTCACTTTTTATCTTTTTAATTTGATTCACATATTCGTGTGTGGTAATTCCCAAATTTATTTGCAATGATTGTTTGTTAATAATAGATGTTTCCTCTTGACATCCGAGATGATGAGATCTAAATGAAAATTTTGTCAATTTAAAAAGGAAACCTAAAATGTAGGAGTAGAGATTTAATCTAGTTATATAGTATAAAATTATATAAAGAACATTATATCTTATATTCATCTTACTATAAAACTTTTCAATTATAATATTCTTGTAGTAATATATATCGTTAATAAAATAAAAACGAGAAAAAAAAAAAAACTTGATTAGTATTTCTGAAGTGAGAATTTCAAAGCAAAATTTCTTTTAAGTCAAAATGCTAAATTTATGAGAAAGGAAAACCAAAGTGATAAACCAAACAAAAAACTGGTGGTTTTGTACTGCATAATTTAGGGTTTGGTTTTGAATTTAGTAAAAGAAACATAACCATTTTCATATCTAGTGATTAAATTACGTTGAATTCTAAAAGAAGTTTTGAAAATATTTTAGACATTATTATTTTTTTTCAAAGATTTTAGAAATATAATAGCTTTTTCTGAATAAACAGATAAAAATATATTTTTTTCATATAAAAATATGAAAATGTAGTGGTCTTTTTTTTTTTTTTTTTTTTTTTAACCGCCAAAAATATAAAGAGAAAACGAAGCTACATCTTTTTCGTCTGTTTTTTTTGTTTGTTTTTTTTTTTTTTTTTGTTTTTTTTTTTGGCTATTTTTTCGTTTATTGGTAAAACCCTGATTAGTTTTTGAATTAGGGCTTTTGAGCTTTGAGCGTTCCAGCACCGCTATTGGATCCTTCATAAGCTAATTATTATTTTTTTTTGGAAAGGGAACTTCCCTAACGAGGGTTTTCGGGCCAGCTTTCGCGCACCAACTAATCCCCCGCTGCAAACATAAAGCTTTGCCTTATGCCCTGGAGTCACTGCAGGCGAACCTCCATGGCCACAAGGGCTGAGTGGTGCCAGGATTTGAACATGAGTCAATAGGTTATCCACCATATCTTCTACATGCCTTACCAAGTCACCACAACCCAAGTGGTTACACGAATCTATGTAAGCGATTCCACTTCCTTAATGGATTTTGATTAATAGATGTTCATCTTTTGCAGGTTTATATACGCTTAAACAAGAATATGTTATTCTCAAACGTTCTGCATTTTCAAATTTTCTTATTGGAAGTGTCTAATTCATAAAAACGTCAAGTACCAAATAATTCTATGAAAAATCTTTAAATTGTTGATTCAAACTCAAACAATTCCAGTTTCTAGATACAGTTTCAAATCCTAAACTATAATTGTTCGACATTTGTCTATTTTTACTTCAATCTGTTCATCTTTGTAGGCGAGACTTCTTCATTAACAGGTTTCCACCATGAAACCCCAAATTAAGTTTAAATAGGAATACGTCATTAAACAACAGTTTACTTACAAATGAAAAGGATCAAATTTGACATCATATATAACAATATACATTTTGAGATGATTCTGAAATTTGTTTGCTCAAAATCTCAGTAAGTGAAGAGGCTAGCTAAAAAATGAGTTCCAGAAGTGCGAATGTTGATAGGCTTAGCCTTTTGCCAGATGTGCTTCTTGCACACATACTCTCTTCAATGCCTACAAAATCAGCAGTGGAAACAAGCATCTTATCCAAAAGATGGAAATCCTGCTGGACATTGGTCCATAGCTTTGACTTCCATTACATTGACCACATCCCTGATTCTGATACGTTTTTGAGTTTCGTAGATCGGGTGTTGAAGCTTTGTAAAACATCCCAAGTTAAATTATTCCGATTACACTGTTCTGAATCTTTGATTGGAAACACAAACGTACCAAAGTGGATTAATGAAGCAGTTAAGCTAAACGTATGTAAGCTTGACATACAAGTTATCATACGTGAATTGCCACTTAGTCTGTTTACTTGCAAAACACTCACCACTACATGTGTGCTTTTGAAGCTTAAAAGCATGAAATTTATAAGTTTCAAGAGGCGAGAGTGCGATATAAAGTTGATAGAATACTTGTTGGCGAATGCAAATGTTTTGAAGACACTAACTATCATTTCAGAAATATGGCCCCCACCGGATGAAATGCGTTTGTGTGAACAGTTTATGAAGTTTCCAAGTGCTTTGGGTTGTTGTGAGATTCAGTTTATTAGGAAGTGGTCTCATTTCTACAATAAATTAGATGATTAAGAGTAATTATTATTTTGGCGCTGTGGTATAGTTGAAACAAGGTTGAGTCAAAGTTATATGATTTTGTTGCAATTATTGTCTTTGTGGTTTCGTTTTGATATTTTTATTATTCGTGATCAATCTACCTATATTAATTTCTATGTACATTTAGGTCATCCAGAATATAATGAAACCATTGGGGCCAAAACTGCAACAATTGCCAAGCTTGTGGACGGAAATGTAAAAAAGAACTTGGACTTCCACTGCAATCTTTAGACAAACACATGAACCATAACCATATAACATGTCATTATATATTTTTTTAACATAATTGACGTTATATTTTTAAACCGTTGAAATTTTATAATAAACCACTAGCAAGAAGCTAAAACACAGTTGTAGTTTAATAAACTTTTTTTTTTTTATCAAAACCACAAAAAAGTTGACAACCGGACATTTTCGCAATTTTCTGTAGGATAAATAGTTAATTTAGAACAATAGAACAAAATGAAAGACAATTTAACCAACATCCCAAGCACGTGTTACATGATTTCTGTTTAATTCTAACATCAATTGAATGGACATGGATTGTAATTTTGACCCTTCAGTTTTTGATATTAATTTCCTATGAGCAATAAAAAAAAATTTAAACTTGGAGGAATTTTAACCGGAAAGTGGAATAAAAAGAGGTTCAAAAGCCTCCGTAGCAATGCATGTATTTGCTGTGTTATCCCTCATGAGCAAGCTTTCACATGTGATTGTTAGATTCTTCAAAACCTCCGCATTTCCCAACATGTATTCTATGAACCTTAAATCACAATTACGCCCCTTACATCTTGTAATTTTCAAGCTTCTAAGCTTCGTAAGCATCCAAGGTGGAACTGACTGCGGCTCAATCCAGCAAGATCCTTCCGGCTTTTGTTTTATCACAAAACCAGATAGAGAACTAAATGTTATGCGTGGAAAAAAAACTAATTAAGCATCGAATAAGACATGTCAAAACTTAGAAAAAAGTACAATCACCTCTTGAAAACTTAAATGCTGCAACTGGGAAGAGCTATCAAGATGTTGGAAGACTAGCAACCATGGGGAACCAAAAGAACCCTTCAATTCCAAGTGCTTCAAATTGGGAAATTTGGGAAGAGGCGACTTCAATACATCCTTCAATATCAACAAAACGAGAAACTAGTGATTAATGAATGAAAACAAGAATCATTCTAAGAGTAAATTCGAATTTCACATCTAAATGGCTGTTTTAAAGTTCTTGGTAATTACAAACATATTGTATTAAAATAGGCAAAAAAAAAAAAAAATCCATATCAATTTTAAGGAAAAAGTAAGTGTGAAAGTAAAACGTCGTTGATAAACGAACTCAAAATATGGTAGGAATATATATATCAAGAAAAACAAGGAAGCACGAACTGAATGTACAACGCACTGAACGTTGACTAAGAACGCGAAACGAACATTAACTACGAATAATCCAGATGCAAAAACATTAGACACTTTAAGAATGCATGACTGACGCAACAGAGAAGAAAAATGCTTACGGCGAGTGAGGCGATAGATGGTAACTCGGTGGTGGCAGAAGGCGACTGGGGGTATTTTCAGACGATGACTCGGTGGCAGAACGGGTCGATGGAATATATTTTAATTTTAGTTAATATTTATATTCTAACAAAATGATAACTTTGAAAAAGATTTTGTAGTCGATAATCAAGGAAAAAAAATCGTAATCGTTTTTTATTTGGATGTTTCTTTTCATATCCCCTCACTTCTCTTCTAATAAAAAGAATCCTATAAAACCGTGTGTATTTATTTAAAATTCCGTTTTTGCCATGTGATATCTTTTGGTGAAGTGTTCTGTTCTTTTCATGCTCAAATGCATACATCTATCTCTTCCTAGTTCTAGCTTCGCTGCTCTGAAATGGTTCCCTAAATGTGGATGTAGAAGTATGAGTTGCGTTTAATTTTTCGGGACCAGTTAGAGATGAATGGTCAGGAACACTCTACAGTCTACATCATGTGGCTGATTTGATGATGATTTGTAGTCAAAGTAGAGAGATAAGCATATGTGTTAGAACACTTGAACGATTTGCATTATAATTTATGGATTCCTAGTTATGTGTTTTTCTATGATTGTATTTAGATGAAAACTAATTGAGCGAAGGGATGAAAGTGAGTATAATGATCTCCGATGACCATGTTCTAGATAATTTAGAAACAACGAAGTTAACAAAAAGTGTTCTGAAAAAATAACAATGATATTTTTTTGAATATTTTGGAAACTTCAATGATATTTTTTGTACTAAAATGTATACTTCGTTGATATTCTGTTACAAATTATATGCTTTAATGATATTTTTTGTACTAAAAAAACAATGATATTTTTTAAACATTTTGGAAACTTCGTTACCTTTTTAAACATTTTTCCAATTGCCTGAGGTATCCGGTTACCACAAGGTTTTATTTGAACAAATGTGTATTTCGTTGATATTCTATGTAAAAAAATACTTTAACTTATTTTGTGTACTAAAAAAAACAATGGTCTATTTTTGTACATTTTGAGAACTTCGTTACATTTTAAAGTCATTTTACCTAATTTAAAAGTTGCACATGGCATGCTCTTAATTAAAAAGTCTTCTAAGAAAAAGGACAAACTAATACACTGAAGTTTTTTAAAGGTGTCTAACATCAAGAAATGGAATGGACCATGAAAGTGATTTAGCTCCACTTATTCCTTTTAGAAGATCAAAACCATTAGATGATTAAATCTTACTTCACCATGATAAAAAACCAACAGTTGCCACAACCAATGATGACAAATCTTCCATCACAAAAAGTGAGTAGAAAACCCCACTAACACCAAGGTATTCAAGATTAGGGACATTCAAAACAACTTGTAGATAGAAATGTAGCCACTTGTTAGTTGTAGTCTCTTCAAAGTAGGGATGTTGAAGTTGCAGTCTTCTTCTTCTCATTTCGAACATTTATTACCAGAGATAAACTTTCAAGCATTGGGCAACCATTGATGAGTCTGAATGCGTTGACAAAAGCTGGTTTTCATACGAGGATGTATGATTACAGATGGAAAAATAAAATCTTGCCAAACATTATCAAACCCAACTAAGCTTAATTTTGTGAGTGTTTTGCAAGTGATAAGGTTCAGAGGCAGCTCAAACTGCAGAACATTTACAAAAAGTTCACACACGTTTAACCTAACTGCTTCATTAATCAACTTTAAGACGTTTGATTTTGACATGATTGACTCTGACCCGTTTTTCATTAGCACAACACATCCATAGACAGGATGATAACTGATAATTATCAAAATATGTTGAAGACTAACATCCTTAAGGATTATAAAACAATATAGAATTGTGTGTAAACAGCAACTGTTGTGATATCAAAACAAACTATATACAAGATAGTGATTCACAATACCTAAATGAAAAACTTAGATCTCTGAACACTCACTTCTGTTTGCCATTCAATTGGACATGAAATTAAGCTGTCTGGCTAAATGTAGAAGAATCTGTTGAGGTAGGTATGATGAATTGATTGACACTATTTACCCCTTGTGGAAATTGGGATTTTTCGGATTGCTGAGAGTGGTTGGAATTCCGATTCTGGAAAAACCTATTGGGATTCCCATGACTGGAATTTAATTGGACCTTTTGGAGTACGTCTTGGACTGGAGGAGGAGGTCCGGGTAGTTTTGCATGTCTGTATCGACAATCAGGACCATTGGGACAAAACCCTAATTTGTACCTGTGTATTTCAATTTACGTGTCAGCAAAAACAGGAAGTATGGAATCAAGGGGGAAAAAGACGAATCGAAGATGAAGAAAGAAAAATTACATGTTACACTCTTTGATATCTTCGGTGGTGTGTTTATAAACGCAGTCCTGTTGTCGGCACTCTCCGTACAACCGGAAGAATCGACATATCGGCATTCTTGATTTGTCATATTGATGGAGGAATCCGCAGGCCTCGCCTTTCATACAAAGACCGCGGAGCCAGTGGCGACATACGGTCTGACGGTAGCTCCTCCGTCCGGGAAAATTTGAAGCTGGGTTGTCGCCGGATGTTGAGTTCACGTTCACTGCAGAAGCGGATGATGCGTTATTATCATTATTACTATTACGATCAGCGGATTGGTGGATTGCGGCTAAAGATGCGGTAGGTTCTTCGAAATCAAAGCTTAGACCTCCCTCTGTTTCCTCCATGATTTAATCGAACTACAAAACCCTACCGATGATGATTCCCAATAGGAAGAGGTGATTGAAAGTGAGAATTGGGTAGGAAGAATGGTTTGTGTTAAATCTTGAAGATGTGCAAATCGGAAGATCCGATGAACCTTCGCGACACCGGAAAAGATGATTCAACGGTATTCTTGATCTGTGTGCAAAAACGTACAAATGAGCCTCAAAAGTCAAATCTCTGCCTTTTTCCCTTTCTATTTTGCACTAGGTTTTTAAAAAAAAAAAAAAAAGAAGTAAACTACATTTTTCCTAATTATTATTATTTTTAAAATGATTTTTTTTTTCTTTTACAATTTTGGCCTTTTCATTCAGTTTTATGTAACGTTTTTGGTCTATATGTCAAAAACAATGATTATATTTCTACATATCCATGGCCAAAAATGTTATAAAAATCTTAAATAAAAACCAAAATTACAAAAAAAAAGAGAACATTTTAAAACCGAAATATACATTACTCTTAAATTTTTTTACTCCAAACTAAGTATGCATGTTACTTTTTTTTTTTTTTTTTTTTTTTTTGAAATGGGGCTTCTTTTGAAAAGGGAAAATTTTTATGGAATAGGTTTCAATTTAATTCTTTTGTATATTTGTTTGGTTTGCAATTCTAACGAAGAATTCAGATAGCAAACAATGACAAATGACAAAATTACCCTTTACGATAACTAGAACCGCTCCTTGACTTGTTTCTCTAAGTTCCCTAACATGTCAAGAATACTCATTCTTAGCGGATGAGAAGTATCTCCCGCTATAAACACATTTTTCCTCCCATCAACTTCAATCCAACTACAACCCGCGGGTTTTTTCAAATCCTTTCTCTTCATCAACTTCCTTATTTCCAAAACTTCATCCCATTTATCTTTAGCAGCATAAATATTCGACATCACAACATAATTCCCCATATTATTATCCTCAATTCCCAAAAGATGATCCGATACAACACATCCCATTTCCACATCATCATAATTCTTACACGCGCCCAACAATGCGCCCCACACGTTTGCATTCGGTTCAACCGCCATATTTTTAATAAAACTATACGCATCATTAATCCGACCATTTCTTGCAAGAAGATCCACCACACAAACATATTGCTCCATTGTTGGTTGTAATCCATGCACATGATCTATAGAGTCAAAGATTTTCAAACCTTGGTCAACTAAGCCCGCGTGACTACAACCAGAAAGAACCGAAGTTATCACAACATGATCCGGTTTTCCACCATTTTCAAGCATTTGAAAGTAAACCCTAAGAGCTTCTTCCCCCTTTCCATGCATTGAATACCCTCCAACCATTGATGTAAACATAACCAAATCTTTATAAACACTTGTCTCAAAAATCTTACATGCATAATTTATGCTTCCACATTTTGAATATGAATCCAACAAAGCTCCCTTAAGTTGAACATCTTGAAAACAAGCTCTAACCACATACCCATGACACTGTTTCACCATATCCATAGATGCTATTTGATTAACAACAGGAAGTATGCTCATTATGGTCATGGAATCTGGTTTTATTTCATGATTTTGTAACTCATGAAGCAAATTTACAGCTTCATCATTGTAACTATGTTCAGCATATACTCGAATCATCAAATTCCAAGTGGTTAAATCTCTTTCTGTCATGCTCTTGAATATAATACTCGCATCCTCGTGGGACCCACTATTGACATAACCAGATAACAGAGAATTGGAAGTCACGATGTTTCTTGTTGATAAGTTTTTGAATAGTTTTAACGCGTATTCCATGTTTTCACTTTTGGAATATGCATCGATCAATGCGTTTCCAAGTGTAGGTTCTTTACTGTTGAGTAATAAATGAGATCTAAGTGAAAAACCATGAGCTTCTTTAACCATACCCCTAAGTTGAAGTGTGGTTATGATAGTTATGGAGTCGGGTTTTACACCTTCCATGAACATGGAATGTAACTGGTCAAGAAAGTCAACAACAAGCTGACCTTCTGCAAGTGTTAGAAGAATCGAGTTCCATGATATCAAGTCTTTGGTTTGAATCAATGAGAATGTGTGAAATGCAGATACCAAATCGCCACATTTTGAGTAAAAGTTTATTAAGGAATTACTAACTGATGTCATGTTGTATAGATTAAAATGACGGATTATATAGCCATGGATTTGTTTCCCAAACTTCAAATTCTGTAAGTTTGTGCAAGTAGAGAGAAGGGTTAGGAAAGTGACAGAGTCGGGTTTTGTTAAATTCAAAGAATTGAAGTTTTGAAAGAATTCCAAAGATTTTAACCACTCACCATTTGAGGTGTAACCTGCAATCATGGAATTCCAAGAAACCAAATCTTTTGAATGCATTCTTTTGAAGAGAGACTCTGCTTCCTTCATTTGTCGGATCTTTGAGTAGAAACCCAGAAGAGAATTCGCAACAGAAATGTCAAGAAAGAGTTCTTCCCTTCGTATTGTGTAACAATGGATCTCTTTCCCAAAATGGTATGTAGAAACAGGGAGTATGTTGGCTATTGTAGCGTAATTAGGCGATGTTCCTTCCACTATCATCTGTCTAAACATTGAAAAAGCTTCAAGAAACAATCCATTCTCCACCAACCCTGCAACCATGGCGTTCCAAGATACAACGTCTCTTTCAGACACTTCATCAAACACTTGGTATGCATCACCTGAAACACACCCCAGCTTAAAATAGAGAGAAATAAGAGCATTTCCAACAAGGGTTTGCGACTCTAGTCCTGACTTTATCACGTACGAATGAATACTCTTCCCTAAGCGCAAACCCTTTAACCTTACACAAACAGGAAGAACAATAGCAACCGTAACTGAACTCGGCTTAAAATGCTGTACCAAATTCATAGTTTTGTACAACTTCATCACCTCAATATCATGAACCCGAGTGCCTGCTAAACCAGACAGCATAATGTTCCAGGTGACAGCATCCGGATGGGTTATCTGGTTAAAAAGGATATGGCAATCGTCAAGAGCCTTACATTTTGCATACATATTAAGCAGTGATTTGGAGACGATGACACAAGATTGTAAACCCAGTTTGATTACAGAGCTGTGAAGACATTTTCCCAATTTGATGTTGGATTTTGCAGCAAAAGATTTAAGTGTGGCTGCGAAGGTTTGGTAGTTAGGTTCTGAATATGATTTATTCATGGTGAAATCTTGAAGTTCTGAACAACGATTGAACCCAGGTTTTCAATTTTAACACAATTTGACAATTTCTTTGTCAGAGATTTTTTCGAACAAGAAATCCTACATTTTTCAAGATGTCAATCAACCATCAGTTGCCGTTGATTTCAAATGGAGGTCTTAGATATGTAAAGTATAAAAAAACGAGTTGCATCGGATCGACAACCCATCCGATCCCACGTTTCTTTGATATATATATATATATATATATTTAAAGATAATTTTTTTTTCACCTAACTTATGTCTTTTATTCTTTATAAATTTAAGAGGGTGTTTGGTTTACCTTTTCACAGTCAAAAGTTCTTTTTTAAAAGAAAAAAACAAAAAGATGTTTGGTAAGCTAGTAACTTTTGGAGTTTTAATACAAGGAAAATCAACTTTTTGAAAAAGTAGGATTTCCTAACTTTTTGTAACCTTTTGGAAAAGAACTTTTAGCTTTTAAAAGCTAAGCCAAACACGTCCTAAATGTTTATTATCTTGTGTTGCAACTTATTATTAATATTTTGAAGTTTTTATAACTTTTGAACAAAAAAATTAAAATTTTGAAATATTTTTCATGTTTTAAAATTATAAATTAAAATTATGTTTATTTTTTGGAGCCTTAGGATTTCGTTTCCAATCTTACGATCTCGATCTTGCAAACTAAAAAACAATCATACGTAAAATCTTGATATTCACAACCTTGATCTAACATATATAAATGAAATTTGTGTAAAAAATATTTTTTTTCAAATAATCACTTTGTCCGAAATATGTCATTCTGGGGAGTACTGTACAATACGAGTAGGATTCCGGACAAACATTCTGAATAGTTTTTTTTTTTTTTTTTTTTTTTTTATTTTTTTATTTATTTTTTTAAAATATTTTTAAAAATTGTTTTTAATTTAATGTTTGTGTAATAGGTGTTTTATGTTTTTTCTTCTTTTTCTATAATATTTGTTTTTATAAAATCTAAATTGTAAATGTAATTTTAAAATCTACAAAAAAACTAATAAATAGATAAACTTAAGGGATCTGTTTTAAGTATTAGTACAATGTTCAAATGGATTTTGTTCTCATACCCCAAAAATTTTCCGCCAATCGTCTACGATAAGAGTATAAGACATTACCATTGTATCACTGTCACCCTTTATCAAAAAAGATTTCCTACGATCAACATCTTCATAAACCAACAAAAAACACCCTACAATCCCCTTTCGTGTTAGTTTGGTGTGGTATGTTTGGGGCCTTTTTCTAGGGTTATTTTTAAAGTCTGAACGGGGACTACATCAGTTGGTTTGGTACACTAGTAGTTGATACTCACCAGGGGTTTATGGATGCAGGCTCGCATAACTGTAAACCAATACTCATCTTTTGAATAATAGCCGCTCTTCCAGTACCTATAGTATATAGTCATTTTGAATGTCTTAAAATCCAAAAAACCTAAAATCCAGTGAGCACTCGATATATTGATTGGGATGTAAAGCTACACAAAAGGTTGTAATTAATTAATCATCAAATAACATTATATTATAAATTACTATTAGTTAGGTAATGTAATCGAAACACAATTATATTATATCACACTCAGTCCAAGATGGGTAAACGAATCCGTCAACTATGTCACTCCAGTTAAATGCATCAGTGTTGAAAGTCGGTGACACCACCATCCACTTAGCATCATTGCCTCTATGCTTTATCAATAATAAGATCCACATCATGATGTGCTGCCAATAAAAAACTTTATAGTAAACTAGGTATTGTTACTAGAAATGTGGTATGTGATGATCACATAATTATATAACTTACATCACATTCCATCCAGTCGACGTGAGTATCCGCATATAAGTATGTCCAAAACACACTCATCGGAGTAACGGTGATAAAACAGTGAGCAAACAATAGTGAAACATTTTATAATACCCAACCAAATCACGTATATCCGTTCTTAACTCAAGTATTAAATTAAAACAAAAGTGTTCCTTACCCAGGCGTACTTGGGGCGTACGCTAGGTGTAAGTCATTCAAGAATGACGTAGGTGTCTTTAAGTACGCATGACGTACTAAGCTAATGTGCAAACCCTAAATTTGGGGTTTTGAGCCCTATCTAAACACTTTAACCTCCATAAACCCTTTCCATTCTCAGCCTCCATCTCTCCAAATGAATCCCTTGAAACTCTAACCCTATATTTGTGCCTTGTGAGCTAAAAGTGTGTTTTTGGATGCTTTTGAAGGAAAAAGAAGTTAGTAGTGTTGCTTGGAAAGCTTCAAACATTGTAGATCTGGGATTTACACCTCTCAAGCATTCTCCATGAGGTATAAAGTTTTCAACTTGGTGAATGATTTGTTAGATCTTGTTAGTCCTTAGTTTTTTGTCCTTTTATCCCATATTCTTGATCTAGTTGAGTATGAGCTACTCCAGACCTCATGACTAGCATTTTCAAACGTTTTTGCGTGCTTAGAATCATAAAAATGTAATCTTGATTCTTTCCTTTCAACCATTCAAGAGAAATGAAGATTCGGGTTGTGTAATAAGTTAGGGTTTTGGTTTTGGGCACCTTTTAGCCATGCAAAGTCGTAAAGTTGTAAACTTTATGATTTAGGATTGTTAGGGAAAATAGACGATACTTGTCAAGACTCAAAACAAATCTGATAACAAGTTCCGATGACCCTTGTTAGGAAGTAATGTGGATAACAAGCAAAACTAAAAGCACACAATTATTTACGTGGTTTGGTCAAGGTGACCTACGTCCATAGGCAAGAGGGGAGTATTCTTTATTTTAGAGTCTCAAACATAGGTTACAGATACAATTCACTAGAGATTCATCCTACTCACTAAGGATACAAGATACAAGACATAAAATGACCAAGCATGCATCCCTATTTAGAGTTGAGGGATTAGACCTAAAACCTTAATGGGTCAAGCCTATAGGCCCATGAATGGTGACAATTAATCATATTCTACCATGCAACATCTTCTAGAACATTCTTCGATGTCATACAACCAATAAGCATCAATAACTAACATGATGGACCACCTTAACCATAGTGGAGCATCATGATCACTAATGGCCCAACATCCATCATGGTAGCACAACATGGTGCATTTCTTGAGCATGAACACCTTCTAAGCATATGTGGATCAATATGGAACAACAAGGGAATCAAGATGACGCATCATGTACCAATATGATCCATGATGACGCAACATCCCCTCCATGGTGCAACTTCCCTTATTGATGAAGCAACAACATCTTCATGGATCAACGTCTTCACTTAGCTCAACATAAGACATGATGGCACATCATGATATCATTTGGTTCAATATCCCCAAGGATGGCACAACTTCCTTCTACATGGCGCAACATGATATTCCATGTTGCTCCAAGTGCTCCAAGTTGCTCCCAATTTCTCCAAGTTGCTCCAAGCGACTCCAATTTACTCTAAAACCACTACAAGTTTCTTCAAACCCCCTTTTGGAAGATTCGTTTCTTTGTCACTTGATCTGTTCCTTTGTCACATGATATGTTCCTTTGTCTGATGATCCAAATCTATCTCATATGATACGTTCCCTTGTCACTTGCTCCATGAACCTCAAGTGCTCCATTGAAATCTAAGCATTTCAAATGCTTCATGAGAATGATGTAGATGCTCTATGAGAATGCTCTAAATGCTCGAGTCACATTTAACAATCTCCACCTTGACTTAAGCATCCTATGAACTCCACCTTAAATGAGAACTTCCTCTCCTTTCCTATCATCAAGCCCCAAAGGGGCTTAACTCCTACAAACATCAACCAAGTCCAATCAAATCTTTAACTACTATTTGGGAAAGAAATTTGTTACCATGTCCTCTAGATTCACCTTGGTACCAAACTTTTTGAATGCATACCCTGTCATAGAACATGATAACTTTCTCCACCTTCAAAAGCAGACTCTAAACAAGTCCAACCGCCAACGATCTTCTTATCTACAGATCACTTTCATGGTCCAAGTCTATCAATCCAACCAAGTCCATATGTCGTGCATTTGCACCATACACCAGACAAACATCTAGTGTTCCCTTTAAGTTTCGTAAGATTCACTTGACCACTTCCTAATGAGCTTTCCCCTGATTGCCTCGAACCACCAAAGAAGCACCAACATGTTTATATTGATCATGATAGAACGACCATAAGACTTTCTCAATGTAGTGAGAAATGTATAACCATCTTTCTATTCTATCACAAGCTCATTCTATAGAAGCTTCTTCAAGTTGTCTTTCCTGGCATCAACATCACATGATACTTATTACTTGGGTTGATCAAGGGATTCCTCACATCTATCTTTTTCCATGCCACCTTGGTGTTCTTCATTTATCGCAAAAATGTGTGGGATTTCTGTTGCAAACTCCACCTTCTGGCTAACACTATGATCGTTCCCCGCAACACTTGTACCACCTATTCTTTGGTTACACATAGCAGATTCAAAGGCCACATCTATGCTAATAACACATTTTGGAGTCTTGTCTTCTTCTATACACCACAGAAGATGACCTTTCCCTCCAAATTCATATCCTAGAAATATGAACTTCATTGCCCTAGGCTCTAGTTTACCATCATTCACACAAGCATAAGCAGGGCATCCAAACATTCGTAAACCAGGATTCTTATAGGGTTTTGTAGACCACACCTCTCAAGGAGTCCTACAATCAATTGCAGCTGATGGAGATCAATTCGCCAGATAGCAAGCAATGTTGACTACTTCTGCCCAGTTTTACTCCGATAAATCATCAGATAATCGTATGCAATGAGCATGCTCTACCAGTGTTTGGTTCATATGTTCTGCCACTTTGCTTTGTTGTGCTGTTAGACGTACAATGTGATGCCTCAATATACCTTTTGTTTTGCAGAAGTTGTCAAACGAAGCCTTGTAGAACTCCAACCCATTTTATGTTATGAGTGGTCTAACATGGTTCCCGATCTGTTTCTCAACCATTGTTTTCCACTCCTTGAACCGTAAAAACAATTCATCTTGGTCCTTTGTCTTCAAAAAATACACCCATATCTTCCTTGAGTAATCATCGATAAAAGTTACAAAGTATTGACATCAACCATGAGACTTCACAGGAGAAGGACCCCATAGAGATGAGTGAACACACTCTAGGATCTCCTTGCTTGAGTGTTAC